AATCGATCATAATTCAGCCAACTAAACGGCAAATTCTTCCCACTTTGTAACAACAGGGGTATTTTACGAGGGGCAATTCTCTCTCCCCTTTTGTTTTCTTCGAACATCGAGAGACTTCCTATTCCATCAGGTTTTATTGGTTGCAAATACTCCGACGACATTGTGTTAGGCAGCGTCTTTCTCACCAACAATTCATGCTCGCGTTCAAAATGGGTGGGACCAGCTTGCACGGTGGTCATCTTTCTGATCCCTTGTTCTCAACATATCAATTTGTAGAGAATAACGCTTTTTTCCCAACTGACAAACGCCAAACCTTGCCTAATGAGGCGAGGCTCCTTGTTGTTAACGAATGAATTGTACCTGGTTCACTCACTGTTACGTACCTTGGAGTGCTTTTATCCTAAATCTTAACATGGTCTACACACATCGGCGAGACTTTTCGCATGGTAGAAAGATTATTATTTTGTGCTCAGTGGCCCAAGTTTCTTTCAGTACCCCGCTATTTAATCTATAAATCCGTGTCTACCTGTATACTCATTCATTGGTTATGCTGCTGGCTTGTTATTTTCTATGGACTAGTTCACAGTGATTTTAAAATTATTGTCCGTTAGAGTAACATAATCTGTAACACAGAGTGTCACTTATTACCATGCAATTTTGATGTATTGACCGATTTTCTTGATATATTAAATGATATGTATCACACTCTGCACAAACAGTTATATAGACGTTGTTCCTTCTCATCTACGCGCTCAGAAGTTAAGGTTTCAGGATCTTAGCACCGCTACTTATCATAAATTTGCTTCGCCATATTTATGAATTCTTCTAGGAAACCCCACGAATTTCATTGATGCCGTGCGTGAACTTTGCCTTAAGTGAATGTATACTCGTTTATTCACAATTTGCCTGTAATTTTACGCAGTTTTTAACATAAAATTTAATCAGCATTTCTAATGCACAAATGCGCCGAAAATGTGTTCAGTCGGAAAAGAAGCTTCTTTGGATTTGACCTGTTTATAACTGGTGTTATAGGTATATACGCGAACGTATGCCTTGCTCAGTGACCAGTGCACGCAACACAATGCTTCTGAAGGTGGGTGTGCAAAAATCAACATAATCTTCTTGAAAGCAGTGCAATTCATGACGCGTTTCGATGTACTTCATCTCATCAGATACTGTGAGCATGCATCGAACCCGAGGTCATTTGGATGTATGATGTAACCGTTACCCTTAAGTCACAACGTCACGACGGGCAACGCTTGGCACAACGGTTAAATGACTATGCTGCAGGTCAATTTTGAATAATTATTTTGTGGATGGATTGCGACGCGCAATCTCAACCTTGAGTTTGCTTGCCATTGAAGTGAACCTTGGTCTTTCGGTCACGAGGACCATAGCGTATGCATATGGAATTTGCTGGTTTATCGATAAAAGACGCTGCGATACTATGACTCGTTTCCATGTTATTATATATCACCAAATATAGCAAGCGTAAAATTTAGGACCATTAGAATGTTAGTCGTGACCGCTACCCCGAAGTCACTGGGTCACGGCTGGCAATGCTTTGCTCAACGGAATGATGAACGATGTTGAGAGTCATTTTCGAAGTACACGTCGTGTGGATGGATTGCAACTCGCTACCTCAATGTTGACCGCGATATCAATTGAATTGAAACATGGTTTTTCCATCACGATGACGGTAGCTAAAGAAATTGAGTGCAGCAAGCCGGAAAACACTGCACTACTGTGACGCGTTTCCATGTCGTAATTCTCATCAGATAGAGTTAGCAGGCATCGAAACCGGGAGCAAAACTTTCAGTAACATATTCCTCCCAAAACGGTGTTTTACGCTTGCTTACTCGTCTACGATTAGGGGTTATCATACAACCGGTCGTTTACTCCTGCTACTCTGCTCCCGTTGCGTTAGAACTAAAGGCTAATGGCTTCATCCTTTGTTTGCAGAGTTTTCAAGAAGTCGCATTTAGGCTCTTCAAACGCACAGCTTACCACTACCAATTCGAGCAAACATTTTGCGGACATTTCATGTGGTAAATGTCTTGCTATACTGGATCTAGCGGACGCATATCTGAAGCTCACTATTTACGTTGTCACAAATGATATTTCGTATTTTACACACGTCATGGATTGCTTTTGTTTAACCAATTACTGTTAGGAATTAAAGAGTGCCAATCACATTCCAACACCTAAGAGATAGGATGATAATGCGCATCAACCATGTTGCAGCTTAGATAACGGTATTTTATTTGGGAAGTGAATCCAGAGGAGCTGTCACTAATGCTTGTCCAGGTCTTGGATCGGACACAGGATTACTGATTACGTAAGTGACAAAAGAACTACGGTTTACTGTAACCACAGCACATATTCCTTGGGTTTATCATTGATCAGAATGGACGTCATCTCGATCCAGTTAACATATCAGCTACTGTTTACTAGCTATCACCAACGGACATCAACATCCTATGCTCTTCGTCTGGAGTGGTTAGTGACTCCTATAATTTTCTCCCAGATATTATCAACTGTGAGCAACTCTAAACGTACTATACATGAAAGAATTCAAGAGAAACTGTTCGACCAAGTGACAAACTGCGGTTGATGGAGTAACAGAACTGTTAACATACCATCGCTTTCCCTCTAAATTGGATGCTATAATTCCGACTGTGGTAGGTGCCGATACAAGCAACTATGGTATCCGTATTCTGTTTTTCCACAACTTTCCAGACAGCGCTGCAGAAGCAGATACTGACAGCCGTTTACAGAGAGGGGTTTTAGCCTTACTGTCACAATAGTTACCTTCCACTACCAATCGACAACAAATTTTGAGCAAGGCGACGTCTTGTTTCGTTTATATCCTACTCATCCGGCTGACAGCAACCAGACAGTGCTGGCTAGTATTATAATGGACCAGGCGATAAATCGGGTGATTCTATACACCGCAAAATGTCTTCCAGTCTCGTTAAAACCCATACAACACAACTGCACATGATTCCATACTTCATAAAGTGATGAAGCACGTCAGAAAGATGTTGGCCATCACAAGTATCCGATCGCGAACTCATATCCCATGATCAGTACCAGGACAGTTAATCCGTCTTTGATTCATGTTTGCTTTCCGCCGAAACTATGTCTGTCACCACATCTTTACAACGACTCGTCCTATTTCAACTTCACAAGGGACATGAAGAAATCACCCAAACTAAAGTTCAAGCAAGAGGTTATATTTACTGGCCAAAAATGGACGATAATATCATACGCTAGAGAAAGATTTGCGAAAAATATGCTATGAAGTGCCAAGCGCCGAATCTTCTAACGCCCTTAACGTTGCTGGAAACATCAACTCCTTGGTCTCGCGTTCATGTCGATTTCACATGCTCAATTGACATCGGCTCATATTTCATTGTAAAAGACGCTTAATCTAACTGCCCAGAAGTTAACAATAATTTGGCCTCAACCATTGCATCAACCACCATCAAACAGTTGCGCCAGGTTTCAAATCGTTTTGGTATGCAAAAAAAACTCGTATTGGATAATGGACCACATTTGACATGGAGGGGTTTTGTAAGATTTTATCACTTCAAATATATGACCCATTTGTGGAAACCACCATTCCCACTTCAATCCAATGTTAAGGTTGAGCGATTTCTTGACACGTTGATGCGGATACTGATTAAAGCACAGTGGAACGGTTCTACTCCTGAGTGCATAAAAACCCTCCTCATTGTGAATGGAAGCACTCCACATCACGCGAGTAATTGTGGGTCTCCGTCAGATCTGCTGTTAAGAAAGCAAATCAGGTCTGTCTGGAGTAAAATTATTCCGAGGCAAAGACAGTTAGATGAAGTGAAAAGTACAGAATGTCACAACAACAGCAGCGTGGAACGGTGCCGAGTCTAAAGATCGGTGACCTGGTATGGGCAAGATCTTTCCGTCAACGTAAATCTGATGGGCTCCTGGTGCAGATACCATAATGATTGATCGAGTCGCTTACCCATAGTGGTCCATGACGAAACGTGGCACTGCCACATGAACCAACTCAGACTCTACTCTAGATGTAATCGTCGTTTATGGCCCAGAAATCCCAAGCATGATTTTCAGCTATTGCTGGAGAAGTTCTCGTTACGGGAATTAACGGGTGTAAATTCAGTTCTAGTGGAATATGCAAGCCATGAGTCGGTACCATAATTGGCTATGTTACGCAGGCGCCCGGTATAGAATCGAGAACCACCGGATCGATTCAAATGGACTCAAGGGCTGGAGGCTATAGACAAACATGTGAACAGAAGAGGGAGGTATCCTATACTGAATAATAACGCCAAAGCTGCAAAAGACCCGATGCCAGCCACCAGTCGATCGAAGCCGACCATGCCACCGCGCAGTCATCAATGATTCAGACAATAGTGAAACGTATAACTCAGTCATTATGATACACATGTTTGTCTCTTGATCTCGTTGTATCAATACTCCATGGTTCTGTGCAGGGTTTAGTATGTTATCCACCAATTTGAGTAGTTGAGGTCGCATCACCCCGTATGCTGGATATTCTGTTCATGTACATGCGTTTCTATTTCATGTCTCTGAGTTGTTGCGTGCAATTAGTTTGCTGATATTTCACAAATATTCACTTTTATGCAACATCTTTAGAATGATAAAGTCGCGATTGCTGTAGTTAGTTGTCATGCATGGCCACACAATAACTGCTAGGAACAAGAAACCACAGATTTTTATGGTTTTAATAAGCAAATTTAATGCTGTAACATGATCCGCGGTCAGGCGCTTTTATGTAGTACCTTTGTTGTGATCGGCTAGTTTTTATGTTTCATGCTTTGGTCTATATATTTACAAAGTTACTTGCGACTAGTTGCGATGATATATACATGATATCATTTAGCGTCGAATGAGGAACATATGAAATGTAAAACTGTTCATTCGTTATACCATTTGTTATAAGTCAGTTCTGCTTTCGACCCTATCTATCTACTAAGTGGAGACATCGACAACCGCGAGCACCTCAAGCACCACGACGGAATCAAATGAAACCACGTCCACTGTGAGAGATGACGAAACAACTACATTCACAGGGACGTCTCCAAATGGTGGGTAAAAGATTTCTTACAACTGCTTATTAAAATGACGGCAAACTTTGAAACGCAATGTTTGCAATCCTAGTTTATCGAATTAAACATTTTGCACTCAACGAAAATTAGATATTCCTAATGCAACTTCCTTATCCAGTGGAAGCATTTAATAAAACCAAGGGTTATTTTCAATAGTGGTATGTATATGTGTACTGATGCGAAAGAGGATATACAGAGATAAATATGCCTTGGGGAGTTAGAAGACCTTCGTTTGCATTTTTTGAATGATAGACTACGTGTGTTTTATTCTTTATATCTGCTGTTTGGCTGTACCTAGACAACCGAGCAGAATGTGCCGTTTAACTTCTGTTGCTTGTGGAATGGAAGCATATATCGGTAGCTCAGATTGTTCAGTTGGAGCTGGAAGTGTTCGCTGAGCTAGTCAGTTTTACTGCAAACGCTTCGTCATCACTCGAGGTGAGATAAGCAGTGCACTAGTAGGTAGCGGGGCACAGTGGTGCGAAGCGAGGGGTTAGTGAATCAGATTGATTGACTGTCTGGGCGGAAGTGCTACCAATATTAATCCGAATTGTTCGACGAGCACATGACCACGGAAGTTGATTCCTCTGATTCTTAATTGGTGAACTTAGCGGTCTCCAACATTCGTGGAGGATACATAACTGTTCGCGTATTCATGTGCCTGTCAAATAGTTCCAACTCGGTGAAGTCCTGTCCAACCCTCCGTTCTGCTACTTGCTAGTGCACTGATGAACTCACCTCGAATGAGGAAAAAGCGGATGCAGCAAAACTACCGTGCTCCATTACATGTATTTTCTATTAGAACCACGACATATAACTTCGTCACCAGCAACATGGTCGCAGTGAATGCAGTAAGTACAGACATCAATCAAAAGTTAAGTTACTCATGACAAAATCCAAACGCAATGCCATTTACTTTTCTTCGTCATCCTGTTATTAGCCATCTGCCTGCAGCTACAGCACAGATAGTTGCAAATGTGTTACTAAACTGTAAGCAAATTTGAATAAGAATAATAATATAAATAACTCTTCTTTGTTTCCCAAAACGCGATAGCAGTTGTTGATCTCGGAGTTATTAAGAGATGCAAACAGGCTACTGGCTGTACATTCAGTTCAACCTCCGTTTCGCCTTCTTGATTCTAAATTAACTGAGTGAAGACCATTTTAACAAAGCTAGACATATTACTGCATCCGACTGCTGTATCCTATGCGATTAGAAGACCATGTTGTGTGAAGTAACAATGTACCTTGAGTTGATGGGCAGGTCCATCAACTTAGCCGTTGCTGTTCCCCATGAAAAGCATTATTACGCTAGTTACTGCGGAAGCATCCATTTCGTATAAACTGTTTTGCAGTTTTGTTATTTTGAGTTAATGGTGATGACTTCAATATCTCTTCAGTCAAATTTTCAAGACTATTCGCAATATCGCTTTGTGCTTGCAATTAGTAAAATATTCTCATAAACTCAGGAAAACCTTTACGGGAATTATCTAAAAGCATTCTGGAAAAATGGAAAAGCATCGAGCTGGTTGACAAATCAGTGTAGGACGTCTTGCAGTAAGCCGGACGCATTAACCATTGTTTCTGTGCCGCAATGTTCCAGTATTACAAGCAAAAGCTATGGAATTTACTGCAATCTTGCATCGAAGTGCATATTCAAATGCTGCCATTTTGATGCTAAAAGGCAGTTGGTTTCATTCTGGTGTGGAAGTGGAAATTTCTCAACTTACTAGCTATCGTTGCATCAGGTTCGGTCGACCATGATTCATTCATTTCTCTCGATCAAGTCATCGCTTGGCCACCTCTCCTCTTCTTGCATTCACAACCCCGGCGCGACACTAAGGCACATCGCGGGAGTCGCTGGGTTCGTATGCCCAACACGTTGCCTATCGATCCTAGCCTGGTTCGTGAAATAACTGTGCTGAGCGGTTTATTTCATTTTCCTCTACCGTAAACAAGGCGTCAAACATGCTCGTTGATCACGCGGTGTTCCCACCAGATGTGAGCTAAATTGCCAAAGAACCGGTGGTCGAACGTAACTAGACTCTTCAGGTGCGCTGATCTTAGGGGCCAGGTTTCACAACCGTACAGTAGGGTCGAAGGTACCGGTGCATTGTACACTCTAACCTTCAAGGCGAGAATGATGCCGCGCCGGCGCCGTAAATGGTGAAGGTTAGCAAAAGCGCCTAGAGCTTTTGTTATACGGTCTGTTATCTCACCGTCAATCCCAAGGGCGCTGAAACAACTCGCCAGGTAGTTGCATTTGTGAACGACCTCTAGCTGATCACCACCAAGGGTCAGCGTAGGAGGCGGTTAAGGCTATTCTTGGAGGAACGCTTTGCAATTCGATGGTGTAAACCGAATCCCGAAGCGGATGACAGCCAGTGCTAATCTGTCCAGTGCCACTTGGCACGTCTGGGAGCTGTCACAGAGTAGGGCAATGTCGTCAGCATACTTCAAGTCAAGAAGTCGTGCTCCTGGGAGCGGATCCACATCTTATACATCGTGTCCTGTGAAACGATATCTCCATGACTTCGTCATCAACGAACTTGAAGAGGAAAGGTAACAGCGGGCATCCTTATCTCACACCGCTGGAGATATTAAAAAGCGACGACGACTAGCCGTTAGCCCTCACTCTGTCTAAGCTACGCGCATATAATACTCCGATAATATTTACAAATTTCTCAGGTACATCTTTTCCGAGTAGAAAGTTCCACAGGGTACATTGATCAACCGAATCAAACGCACCTTGGATGTCTTGGAACACGAGAACGGTGGGCCGCCAATATGTGTGCCGGTGCTCCAACAACTGACACAAAGTAAAGATGCGGTCAATTCAGCCACGACCTCGACGAAACCCAGATAGCTTTTTACGAATATAGCTTTCACAACTGCCTGTCAGCCTGTGAAGTATGACAGAGGCAAGCAATTTTGATACAATTGAGGTCAGACTGATTCCTCTATGGATGCCGCATTTCGATCTTCAGCCTCCCTAGACAATTGGGACTACGACTGAGCGGCTCCAGTCGGTTGAGACCGTTTCCTGCTTTCACAGCTTCACTAGTAATTCGTACAAAGCGTCCACAAGAGCAGACTTTCCCACATTTTAAGTGGGCTGAAGGAAGATCATCTATTCCCGTGGCTTTATTTAACTTAACAGTGTGATTTAAAATTTGACTTATCTGCGAAAGGGTCTATCCAAAAGACAGCCCACGGAGCAGGGCGATCGGTGGACGGCGAGAAAGCTAACAATTACGACAGAATAATTTGCCTTTCAAATTGCTCAGCCAAACGCTCCAAGCGATTTGACAACTTGTGGATACGTTGTCCACACTCGTCACGTATATTTTCACTAACATCAGGTCTTCTGCAGCCCGTTTCCCGTATCAGCCAGAATGGCTTACGATGGTTACTCAGGGCAGCGGCTATTTCCATCTTTGGTGTACGAGGAGACCAACAAGATTCGCGGTCTCTCTTCAGGCTAGCACGGAGTTTTGCCCGGAGCTCTTTGCTAGTTTCATTGTGTTCGCTTCCAGCCGGAATATGCCGGCGATCATGGATAAGTTCCAGAGACTGTGAAGAGTCCCAATATCCATGTTGACGATTAGACGTACCACATGAGGATTTGCCTGCTGCTAGTAAGGACTGGTGAATATGAGACCATTGAGATTCAATTGCCTCCAGGAAGCACTTACTAAACTCGTATGTTAGCTTACTTTGATAGGCATTCAGAACAGCTGGCTTCGGCAGTTTGCTGTTGTCAATGCGCTCACAACGTCGTCTTGGGTGTCCGCCAAAACACTTCGACAGGTCAGCACATACAAATGCATGGTCGATGTCCACAACTGTGCTGCAAATCAAGAGACAGTTCTGAATGCAGCCTCACCATCGGTAACTTATCGCAATATGATTGATTCACGTCCATAGCTTGTTCGAGGCTGGTGGGCGCCAAGACACCCTCCGGCGGGTGTTGTGTCAGAAATTAGTGCTCGCAAGAAATAAGCGAGCATCCTCACACAAATGAAGTAACCGCTCACCGTTATCGTTATAGGAGACCACAGCACGTTGGCCTCCCAGACGCGGTTCCTCAGTGGATAATATTCCAACTTGAACTTTCAGATCCCCAGCCAGCACAACAGTGTCCGAGCTTCTTCTGTGACGAAGAAGCTCGTTCAGTTGGCGATAGAAGTCGCCTTTCATCGAATCATCGCTACAGTTTGTGGGTGCATAGGCAGCGATGACGAATAGACACCTGTTAGTCCCGCGCGGCTTCGAAGCTTTGAACGAGCCAGCCAATCGGACCGCACACATCCGGCTACTGATTGTAAGCCAGTCAACCAGAGCAGCTTCAGATCGAGGAATCAGGGCGATACCAACACAGGCTTGGCCGGTGCTCGAAGCTGCACCGTCACCGGATAGGCCTAATGAAAATGTGCTGCTGGTATCATGTGAAGAGGATCGCAGAGTGAGCGCAGAGATCGAGGCTTGCAGGCGTGTGCCCCATAAGCAGCGGTTATCAATCGAGAGGTTCACTACTGTTTGGGCAAGTGCTGCCTGGTGACCGATTTGTAGCAATATGCGTACCTTGAGGCATGCCATTCTGAAGGAGGATCGAGGGCTCCAAATGGAAGGCGCTGGACTGGGCTTGGCCGTTTCTTTGAACATGGGCTTGTCGACAGGACAGGAATGACTCACCGCGTTTACATGTGAGTTGAAACTATACCATTTTACACGCATATTAGCGCATTGTACCAAGCTTTTAGCGTGGTTTATTTTCGAAATATCGTGCGGTAGTTTCAAGTTAGCGATGCTGAGAACGCTGATTTGGCGTCCTTGACACTCTCATTGGTTATGGGACGTAAACCAATGGGACACCGGTTAGAAGCTGCCAGCCTAAGCGACAGACAGTCCAATGAAAGTGGTCGAGCACCAACTTCCGTTCTGCCCTGATGCACCTCTGGAGTAAACCTCGATGATTGGTCTCCAAGCTGAAACCGATCAATAGGTAAATTGTGATGCTTGTCAAAGGAGGAGATGCTAGCTACCACACTATCCAAAGCTTAAGACTTAACCAGTGTGGATAGACATACTAACCAGCACAGGTAGCGGTCTATGGCGATCACTGGCGGCTACCTAATGGTGGCTTATTCAGCGGCCTAACCATGGTGGCGTAGACAGGCAACCATCTAACTCGTACTCCACAGTACAGCAATGGCTACTAGGCGGTTGGACGATTGTGTGCGGATGTCATTGCAACGATCATGGGGGACATAGTTCCCACAGAAGTTGGTAGACCAACCCGAAGCTGAACAACGACAATTCTAAGGTTGCTTAATTCGATCACAGTTGATGACTCAACAAAAAATGATAGGATTGCAATTGTGGCGTTGACACGATATCAGTGAGTGTTCGTTTGCATCCATACCCATGGGCAAAATGTTAATCAGTTGTCGCTTCAGTGTCTCTATGTATGGCGTTATGTAAAGGTCATAGGAACCTATGAATTCTTAGGATAATTAGGTTTCACTTCCATATGGTCGCCCATGGTGACGTAGACAGAGAATATTCTCACTGGTATTAGCACGTCAGCAATGGCTGCTAGGTAGTTATATAATTTTGTGCGATTGTTATTGCGACGATCATGGGGACATTGTTCCCATTGAAGTTAATAGACCAACATGAAGCTGAACAACGAAAATTCTATGTTTGCTTACTTCTATCACAGTTGATGGCTCAACAAAATGTGAGAGGATTCCAAGTGTGGCGTTGACACGACGTTAATGAGTGTTCGTTTGTCTCCTAACCCATGGGAGAATTTGTTAGTCAGTTACCACTTCAGTGCCTACATGTGTCGCGTTATGTAAAGGTCATAGGAACCTATGTATTCATAGGATAATTAGACTTCACTTCCATATGATCGCCCATACGTGTTGAGACGCTTTAACAAGTGGCTCTTCAAATGGAACCATTATAAGCACAGTCAATGCAGATGGAACCTCCCTATTACGTCAATGGACTGGCATGCTCTTCTCAAGGAATCGGCATTACTCAACAAAGTAACACTTAAAGGGGCCACAATGACTACGGTGTTTATACATGCCACATCGTCCTGCTAGAAAGAACGCAAGACTTATGATTAGTGGCGACGCAGGCATGTTACTCTGGTACTTCAGGTAAGTACTTGGAACAGATAAACACTGTTGTCTCACCCACGGGCGTTCCTACAATGTGTTTGCAATCATTTACGAAGGCAACCGCGCCCACTAAGCCTGCTATGGATCACTGTTTCAGTTAGTCTTAGAAGCGTTCATGTATGCACGCCGTGACACAGGTTGTTAGCGACTTAGCAACTACTGAGAAAAAGTTTGTCATTGGGAAGTAGGTAATTCCCTAGACGTTGTTGAAGGAGGAAAATTTCTCTAAACTCTATGCTTACTATGCGTATGCAATGCTCGTAGGCACCTCATATCAGGGCCGTAGGGTCACTTGAGTTTTAAAGCTTATCAATCACCTGGAAGTGAAGTGTAAACATCATGTTGAAACGCAGGATTGACATGCATCTCACGACCATAACATAACGGCAGGACCATGGGTCTTGTAGCGGTAACTGATTACCGAAGTGGCCCACAGGTGTGGCGACGAACGAACACTCATTAATGTTGTGTCACCGCCACACTAGAAACCCTCCTCTCTGGAACAATGGCTACAGATCCAATGATGATCTTACTTACACAGCGAACTTGATCTTAGTATACAATGCGCCGACTACATAAGCAATCCCTATCTACGCTATTCACAGGAGTGTACGGCCAACTGAAAAAACACAGAAAGAGAAATTTATAGCTGTAAAGCTTTTTAAAAATTCTATTTGCTAAGTTCTAGCTTTACCTCCTTCATACGAATTATTTCCTTGTTTCCGATTACCTCACACTGCCTTAACAATCACACGCACATACTAAGGTAAGTCGCACACCTATCGATTCTACAGATTTCTCGCAGTGTCACGATTACACTATGCATCACGTGTGGCCAGATAGGCTAGCGAGCAAGGTAGGTAACTTACATTCAACCGGTAAGCCAACAAAGGTTCCCTTCCAACAGGGTTGCAGCCAATCCGCTTCCTATCACTACTCAATTAGTTGTCATCACGCTCGTGTAAGCCTTCAAAGCCCCTCTTACAACAGGCTGCAAACGTTACAACCTCAAAAGCCACCAATCCGCTTCGTATTACCACTCACAGATTTCCTCTCGCCCCCGTGCTAGTGATGGTTCCTTAAGCCAGATTGGCAGCAGGACCAATCACGTACTATGTCTCCCATTGGCTGATCAGGTACCCAGGTACCTGGGTACCTGGGTACCGGGTACTCCAACAGCGTCTCAGGTACAATGGACTTCATGACCTTAGAGAACAACGGAATTAGTGTAATCGGACGGTAATCCTCTTGTACTCCCAGGCTACCAAGTTTGTAGATTGATGTGATGAGCCCGTGCTTGCAGATCTGGGATACGTGTATCACGTTAAGACATCGCTGAAAGAGTGTTGGTAACGGTTCAGTTATAGTCAAAGCGGCAATGTTTAATGCCTACGGGCGAATGTCGTCCGCACCTGGGGAACTGTACTTGTGCAAGGACATCAGACGATTCAAAAGAGTAAAACTAGTGAAATATGTGCTCATGGCCTGATGATCGCATAAGCTGTGTAGGTATGTTGTAGCAGGGTTGCACAGTTTGGAAGGTGCGATCAACTTGTTGTCCAACATCCCTGGCCGCCACTTGTGTCGTTTGTGGTAACCCGCATGCTATGTGCAGAGTCGGAGTTCTGCGATTAAAGCGGTGCAGTTGGCTTATGTGTCCGTACAGCATTTTTCGTTTAAACCGGAATTTTACCACAACGAATGTTTGCTTCTCTGCTTTATCGGAATTTCGCACAGCGGTTTCTTAGTGTTGTATAGAAGCCTCAAGTATCCTCGCTCTTGGAGGCTACGTGGGTGCGCGATTCCAAGAGCCCTAATGCCCTAGAGCCTCTGTATACAAAGAACAGAACTCAACGGATAACTAAAGCGTATTTGAACACACATAGGTTTCCCGAGAATTTACGCCGACGCATGTGGTGCCGGAAGACAATCGTATTTTTGGATAAAATTCTTACCAACACCCCAGAGCGGTTCTGGTCTGTTACGAAGATCACCAACTACCTTGTCTTTTAGACGCGGTTAGCAACGGATTATCTTTTCCTTCCTCTCTGGACGGCTGAGGAGTTTCGCTGTGTTCATGTTCGAAAATGCAGACAGCGGGTATCGCGACAAATTCTCGCCTGGTTTTTGATCCCTCACACAATATTGGCCTAGGCTCCACCGCCTTCAACCTACTTTGATGGCATCTTGCTGCGCAAATTGTACCCACTTCCGAACACACTTTCAACCATTTGTTTGGAGCAGAGCATGACTTTCCTCACTCTTGGACCACTTACTGTATAGTTTGGTGACATGGGCATCCTTAACGTTGAGTTGATAATCACCTCATGGAGAGAGAGAGCTTTGCAGATGTACCACCTTACTTTCAAGTTATGAGCTTGAGCCTGTGACTCTTCGGATGACTGGATTTCTGGGCCACTATAACAAATGTCGATCTTTCGTCGGTTTGCTTGCGGTATTTTCAGGGGTTTTGTTTCCTTTGCTGACGCTCAATCCAAGGAATGTCAAGAAATATACGGACACCGCATGACGAATCAGGAAGACGGTGAGTTGACAAGAGGGTGGCCTCTGCTTAGCAACCCGACTGAAATGTCCCATGATTTAGCCTTGCCTGCCCCTAGAGAATTGCAGTTTTGTAATTGACGATACGACACAAGCTAGTCTGTTTGGCCTGGATCCCATTGCTTGGCATATGACTTCCCATTGTTTCAAGTCTTCTATACTTGTATTTGTCTTTGACTCATGCACGTTGGCGCATATTTTCTTCTTCGAGTTCTGCCTCTTCTTTGAGTTTGAACTTTTGGGTAAGATAGTGCCTCCTTTTCCTGACGGCGTGGTGGACAATATTCTGGTAGGTTCATTTGTAATTTTTTCATCGCTAACACTCACTAGAGAATTTTCAGATATAAGCGCTAACCATGGCTTGGTATTGCACGCAGCAATGCCGGATGCGTTAATTGTCTGCGTTTCGGCAGTGTTAAGTAAATCTGACTGCAACCGAATGTTATGTAAGACAGACAAACCCTCGGGCGAAAGCACTTTTTCAAAACTGGGGTTACGCTGTTTGAAAGACTCTGGCTGCTAGTACTCGTAATTGGGGTTGCAAAATCTGGGTTGTTAAATATACACTTGCTTTGGATATTATGTTCCGCGTTTGAGCATATATTTTGACAACAGAAATAAAGTTCCAATGCAGCTGGTTCCGATGTGAACTCTGGACCATCCTTTGCAAGCTGCCCAGTAGCTGAGAGTTTGTCGCATTTCTGAGCCAGCACGGCGATGCTGCTTACAAGTGGGTTAATCATACAATCTAAATAAAACCAAATGGAGTCTGGTGTTAATAGTATTTCTGACCTTTCCGGGACACTTAAATTTACACATCTGGGATAGCGGATTTTACTGCCATTCCTAATTTGTACTCATATTCGTATAGCCTTAGAGCACAATTTCAAATTGCGGACTACTTTTGTTTGTGGCAGTGGGGACCCTGTATATATGGCGATTTTTGTTTCCGTGTTGCGAGACATTGCCGAGACGTGAGTCAGGTGGACAGCTTGCGAGTGCTGTACGTGTTGTCACAGGCCCCGCCATGTCGATTAACAGCATTCTACTACTGCGTCCACAGTTGCGGACAAAGCCGGCTGGGGTCCGTGCGCTACTTCTTGGTGTGGGATGTGACCGACTACCGGTCCATCAGTTCGGACTTAGGCCTGGTATACAGTTTTGATATGCGTGCTAGAATTCACTGAAGTTCGACAAGTGTTAGGATAATGGCTGCTAAAGATGTTGCAGCTAGCAAGCGGAGAGTCGGCTTCTATAGGTAAAGGAATGGCTAGATAGCACTAATAGCACTATCGAATGATGGTAAGCACTCGAAAATAAGGATTGATGTACGACTAGATAGCTTTTGAAATCCCATTGCAGTTGCAATAACGGAGCCAATGATGTGTGCTGGACAGTCTTGCAGCAGTAGGTCTAATGTATTACGCTGGTTAAATCGAGTTGGATATGTGTATTATCATATTGGGTTGCATCTAGGATTACGAGTGGTAGATCCAAAAGCAACGTGAGGCGAATTTTATTCCTGTACATCTACGTTCGCTATATGTGGATATACTCAAAGCTGAATTCCTACCTGCCGCTCAACATGTCTGCTCCCTGCGTTCATTTCGTTCGCTAGCGCACTTCGCAGCTGGTTCACCATTACCATTCCAACACCTTGTGGTCTACCAGGAACTAAAGAGGCTGAATGTGAGGAAGGCCGGAGGACCTGATATTCTAGCACTACTTGTTTTAAGCAGTGCCCCGACTCCCTCACATAAATTTTATCATGTCTGTTCAATGGTTGCCTACACATTGGGGCTATTCCTGACAGTTGGATAGCTGTCAGGATAACGACAATTCCAACGAAAAGAGCTCAGCAATTCCGCCCCAATAATTGTACATTTCCATGCTGAAAGTCTTAGAACGACCGTTTATTCCTTTGATTTCTAAGAGCACCTAAGTTAGTGATGCTTTCCAGTTTGCTCAGAACACCAAATACTCCAACGGATGTATTCGCCTATCTCTTTCACTCACTAGTGACTGTTTTAGATGGTATACACCAGGCAGTGCGTCAGCTTTCCTTGGATTTTCAAACGCTCTTGGGATGTTCGACAAGTCCCCGCTTTTTAACATATTATCTATAAACAGCGTTCAACCTGCAATGTGCAATCTTACTGGAACGGATCTTGCAAACTGATCACAAATCACCCAACTAAACGGCAAATTCTTCCAACTTTGTAACGACAGGGCTATTTTACAGGGGGCAATTCTCCCTCTCCTTTTGTTTTTTTTTGAACTTCGAGAGGCTTCCTATTCCATAAGGTTTTATAGGATGCAAGTACGCCGACGACATTGTGTTAGGCAGCGTCTTTCTCACCAAAGATTTATTCTCGCGTTCAAAACGCGTTGGACGAGCTTGCACGGTGGTCATCTTTCTGATCTCTTGTTCTCAACATATCAAATTATCGAGAATAACGCTTTTTCCTAGCTGACAAACGCCAGACCTTGCCCACTGAGGCGAGGCTCGTTGTTGTTAGCGAATGAAGTTTACCTGGTTTACTCACTGTTACCTACCTTGGAGTGATTTTACCCTAAGTCTTAACATGATCTACACACATTGAGGAGACTTTTCGCATGGTAGAAA